ATGTGGTACATGGTTGGGATCCACGATCTACTTTTAAAGCAACGTTGCCCTTTAAAAGATTGCACCAGACATGCCACGTATAATAATGCATGAACACCTTGATTGCCTGTGATACTAGCATAGTATATCCAATATCCAACATACGAATGAGAGCCAATACTTTTTACTCCACTATCCCATAGTTACTTTATTGGGATTCAATAAACGGCTTGTAAATATTATTGGCCAATACACGCTTTCATGTTCCTGAAGTAGGAATGCTGATATCGCTCAATTACTGGCATATACAGAGTTTTTATTTGACGCGGAAGCCCCCTACGTTGCTTGAAGAAGCGTTTACGATCGCGTTGCGTGAGGGCGTCAGCGTCATGGCTTCGGGCGTGAAATATTCTTCGCCTCCTCCTGCTACTCAAGAGCCTGAGTCCATGGAGGTTGACGTGATCGAGCATGGCTCCGAAAGCCAAATTCTGGAAGCCTGTAGCACCGAAACGGCTGATTTGCTTCTGTTGTCGTATGTGTAGTCACCACACGGCTGTATGCCGTGTACCTGCACCAGTACTCGCTGTCGCTTCGTCTAAAGTCACCTTCAACGCCACTGACCAGCCAGAAAAGCGACGACAAGCAGTAGGAGGGGGGTGTCCTACTAGGTTGAAACGGAGACACGTGTCTGCAGTGCGACACGATCTCCTAGCCCCACTGTGCAATATGCACAGCTAAATGCCGCCACGTTCAGTAATGAGCCCCATTTGATCGTGCTTAGTGTTCACGTTGACGGTGCGTCACGTCCACTTCGCGTATTAATGAACTCAGGCGCGACGAACAATGTTGTCCGCGCCAAAAGTTTACCCGTTCTCCCGTCGTGGTTGCGTGTCTGCAAGTCTTCAGGGGGGATGATCGTCAGGAATGCGGAAGAAAGGCCCCGCACGCACCAACAGCGTTTGGAGGTGCTTTCTTATCGGTTTGATGCTTTCAGAAGCAGAGATGCGTTCCAAGTTGTCGACTTGAGCGGTTCGTTCGACTGCATTTCTGGGATGCCGTGGATTGCGCGACATCGACCCGACATTGATTGGCTAAACCACACTATTCAACCACGTGACATTGATGTCAATGCGGTTCTCGACGTTCTTAAGAGACCAAAGATTACGTGGCATCCTGTTGCTGTCGTGGACCCCGACTCCACGACTGATCAAGCCGCTGAACTGTACGATGGTCCTTCGAGTGTGGTGTGTCACTCAACAGCCTGCTCCCTCTCAGTCAAACAGTGTTACTAAGTCAAGAATCAACTTGCAGCAGTAGCCACGGGCGTATCATGGTCGAGCAGCGGCTTCCATGCGTGTGCATTCTTCCAAAATCGCACAAAGGCGGAGACCTTCCGTGCGTCACGTGATCTATCAAGAAAAAGGCCAGGATTGAGAATCTCCTCTGAAGAGTTTGGTTATAAGTCCACCCTCGGCCTAGTCCGACCGAGGGGCCACCTACCCATCTACCGAGTGAAGTATAATCACTCGAGGCACCCTAAGGTCGACCTCTTGCAAGGCCGACATCTCACCTCCACCAAGTCTTTCGAAGAGTGCAACTCACCAGCCGACGGGCACACAAGGTGAGAAAAGGTCTATACGCGGCCTCAGGGTACCCCCTCCGACAGTCGGCATTCCGGCACAGTGAGTGGCTTGGGGTCTCATTACGCAATTTTAGGAAATCACTCCACCACAATGGTGCGCGTGCCCACATCTTCGAAAGACGCAGGATATCACTGCATGTCCAAAGAAGATAATGCATGTTCAAGCCAAATATTCGAGATAAAAGACCGAAGACTCACTGGAAGGGCCGATCGCCAGTCGACTACACAAGGAAAACAACAAAGGATCGAAGGACCGACCGGACCTTGGGAGGGGCCCAGTCAATATGGTCAAGGTTCAACTTATTGAAGAGAAACCGAAATACCCTCCCTATGTCCTCGTTGAGGACACCTTGAGTAATGATATCTATCATGCCCCGGAGGAAAACTCAGTCGAAGGTGGAAACCGATAGACTATTGTCCCCATAAGCTAAGAATATACAAAAAACTACAACAACTACCAAAACTACCAAAACTACGATCGCCATGTCCAAGCCGACCAAGCTCCAGATGAAGCAACCAGGTGACACCAAGTCGGAAGGACCCGTGTCCTCAAGACCTTTGACCTGTTCGGATGCTGACGGGACCATGGCCTACCATCGACTCAAGCTTGACGCGTTTTCTAGAAAGCTACCCTGTCCCCAAAGCCCTCTAGATCCGACTGCTGGGTCAGCTTAGTGGACCTGTGTCAACCCTTCCCAACCTGAGGACGGTGACAGACGCGATCACCGTGCTCGTGACCCTTCTTCGCGAGGCGGGTATGGTCGCAGGAAGGTTCGAGCCTGAAGACTTGTTTTCC